ATTTATACCCTCCAATCCAGGAATCAAACTTCTTCAGCTAATGGTAAACTGCTGATGGACAAATGCCATCCAGTTCAAAAAGACCCAGTCCACGAAAGTTTTCGTTATAATTCGGTTTTAATATATTCCTTTGATGGTAATAATGTTATTTAATAATGAATTTATACCCCACAACCGAAGAATCAAACTTCTTCAGCTAATGGTAAACTGCTGATGGACACATGCCATCCAGTTCAAAAGGACCGAGTCCAGGAAAGTTTTCTCGTTATAATTTTGTTTTAATATATTCTTATAATGATAATAATGTTATTTAATAATGAATTAATACCCCCAACTCAAAAATCATACTTCTTCAGCTAATGGTAAACTGCTGATGGACACATGCCATCCAGTTCAAAAAGACCCAGTCCACGAAAGTTTTCTCGTTGTAATTCGATTTTAATATATTCTTTTGATGGTAATAATGTTATTTAATAATGAATTTATACCCCCCAACTCAAGAATCATACTTCTTCAGCTAATGGTAAACTGCTGATGGACACATTCCATCCAGTTCGAAAGGACCAGTCCAGGAAAGTTTTCTCGTTATAATTCGGTTTTAATATGTTCCTTTGATGATAATAAAGTTATTTAATAATGAATTTATACCCCCCAACCGAAAAATCATACTTCTTCAGCTAATGGTAAACTGTTGATGGACAAAGGCCATCCAGTTCAAGAAGATTAAGTCCAAGAAAGTTTTCCCGTTATAATTCGGTTTTAATATATTCTTTTGATGATAATGTTATTTAATAATGAATTTATACCCCCAACTCAAGAATCATACTTCTTCAGCTAATGGTAAACTGTTGATGGATAAAGGCCATCAAGTTCAAGATGATCAAGTCCAAGAAAGTTTTCTCGTTATAATTCGCTTTTAATATATTCTTTTGATGATAATAATGTTATTTAATAATGAATTTATACCCTCAAATCCAGGAATCAAACTTCTTCAGCTAATGGTAAACTGCTGATGGACACATGCCATCCAGTTCAAAAGGACCAAGTCCAGGGAAGTTTTCTCGCTATAATTCGCTTTTAATATATTCTTTTGATGATAATAATGTTATTTAATAATGAATTTATAATTTCTTACAACCAAAGAATCATACTTCTTCAGCTAATGGTAAACTGCTGATGGACACATTCCATCCAGTTCGAAAGGACCCAGTCCAGGAAAGTTTTCTCGTTTAATTCGGTTTTAATATATTCTTTTAATGATAATAATGTTATTTAATAATGAATTTATACCCCCTAACTCAAGAATCATACTTCTTCAGCTAATGGTAAACTGCTGATGGACACATTCCATCCAGATCGAAAGGACCCAGTCCAGGAAAGCTTTCTCGTTATAATTCGGTTTTAATATATTCTGTTGATGATAATAATGTTATTTAATAATGAATTTATACCCCCAACCCAAGAATCATACTTCTTCAGCTAATGGTAAACTGCCGATGGACACATTCCATCCAGTTCGAAAGGACCCAGTCCACGGAAAGTTTTCTTCGTTATAATTCGGTTTTAATATATTCTTTTGATGATAATAATGTTATTATAATAATGAATTATACCCCCAACTCAAGAATCATACTTCTTCAGCTAATGGTAAACTGCTGATGGACACATGCCATCCAGTTCAAAAAGACCCAGTCCACGAAAGTTTTCTCGTTATAATTCGGTTTTAATATATTCCTTTGATGGTAATAATGTTATTTAATAATGAATTTATACCCCACAACCGAAGAATCAAACTTCTTCAGCTAATGGTAAACTGCTGATGGACACATGCCATCCAGTTCAAAAGGACCGAGTCCAGGAAAGTTTTCTCGTTATAATTCTATTTTAATATATTCTTATAATGATAATAATGTTATTTAATAATGAATTTATACCCCCCAACTCAAGAATCATACTTCTTCAGCTAATGGTAAACTGCTGATGGACACATGCCATCCGGTTTAAAAAGACCCAGTCCAGGAAAGTTTTCTCGTTATAATTCGATTTTAATATATTCTTTTGATGGTAATAATGTTATTTAATAATGAATTTATAGCCCGCAACTCAAGAATCATACTTCTTCAGCTAATGGTAAACTGCCGATGGACACATTCCGTCCAGTTCGAAAGGACCCAGTCCAGGAAAGGTTTCTCCTTATAATTCGGTTTTAATATATTCTTTTGATGATAATAAAGTTATTTAATAATGAATTTATACCCCCCAACTCAAGAATCATACTTCTTCAGCTAATGGTAAACTGCTGATGGACACATGCCATCCAGTTCAAAAAGACCCAGTCCACGAAAGTTTTCTCGTTATAATTCGGTTTTAATATATTATTTTGATGGTAATAATGTTATTTAATAAAGAATTTATACCCCCCAACTCAAGAATCATACTTCTTCAGCTAATGGTAAACTGCTGATGGACACATGCCATCCAGTTCAAAAAGACCCAGTCCACGAAAGTTTTCTCGTTATAATTCGGTTTTAATATATTCCTTTGATGGTAATAATGTTATTTAATAATGAATTTATGCCCCACAACTGAAGAATCAAACTTCTTCAGCTAATGGTAAACTGCTGATGGACAAATTCCATCCAGTTCGAAAGGACCCAGTCCAGGAAAGTTTTTTCGTTATAATTTGGTATTAATATATCCTTTTATGGTAATAATGTTATTTAATAATGAATTTATACCCTACAACCGAAGAATCATACTTCTTCAGCTAATGGTAAACTGCTGATGGACACATTCCATCCAGTTCGAAAGGACCCAGTCCAGGAAAGTTTTCTGTTGTTATAATTCGGTTTCTTTAATATATTCTTTTGATGATAAATGATTATTTTATAATGAATTTATACCCCCCAACTCAAGAATCATACTTCTTCATCTAACGGTAAACTGCTGATGGACACATGCCATCCAGTTCGAAAGGACCCAGTCCAGGAAAGTTTTCTCGTTATAATTCGGTTTTAATATATTCTTATGATGATAATAATGTTATTTAATAATGAATTTATACCCCCAACTCAAGAATCATACTTCTTCAGCTAATGGTAAACTGCTGATGGATACATTCCATCCAGTTCGAAAGGACCCAGTCCAGGAAAGTTTTCTCGTTATAATTCGGTTTTAATATATTCTTTTGATGATAATAATGTTATTATAATAATAAATTTTAACCCCCCCAACTCAAGAATCATACTTCTTCAGCTAATGGTAAACTGCTGATGGACATATTCCATCCAGTTCGAAAGGACCCAGTCCAGGAAAGTTTTCTTGTTATAATTCGGTTTTAATATATTCTTTTGATGATAATAAAGTTATTTTATAATGAATTTATACCCCCCAACTCAAGAATCATACTTCTTCAGCTAATGGTAAACTGCTGATGGACACATTCCATCCAGTTCGAAAGGACCCAGTCCAGGAAAGTTTTCTTGTTATAATTCGGTTTTAATATATTCATTTGATGATAATAAAGTTATTTTATAATGAATTTATACCCCCCAACTCAAGAATCATACTTCTTCATCTAACGGTAAACTGCTGATGGACACATTCCATCCAGTTCGAAAGGACCCAGTCCAGGAAAGTTTTCTCGTTATAATTCGGTTTTAGTATATTCTTTTGATGATAATAATGTTATTTAATAATGAATGTTAACCCCCCAACTCAAGAATCACACTTCTTCAGCTAATGGTAAACTGCTGATGGACACATTCCATCCAGTTCGAAAGGACCCAGACCAGGAAAGTTTTTTCGTTATAATTCGGTTTTAATATGTTCTTTTGATGGTAATAATGTTATTTAATAATGAATTTATACCCCACAACCGAAGAATCATACTTCTTCAGCTAATGGTAAACTGCTGATGGACACATTCCATCCAGTTCGAAAGGACCCAGACCAGGAAAGTTTTTTCGTTATAATTCGGTTTTAATATGTTCTTTTGATGGTAATAATGTTATTTAATAATGAATTTATACCCCACAACCGAAGAATCATACTTCTTCAGTTAATGGTAAACTGCTGATGGACACATTCCATCCAGTTCGAAAGGACCCAGTCCAGGAAAGTTTTCTTGTTATAATTCGGTTTTAATATATTCTTTTGATGATAATAAAGTTATTTAATAATGAATTTATTCCCCCCAACTCAAGAATCATTAATTACTTAATAAGGTAAAACCAAAAAGCTTCAAACTTTCTGTATGATTATTTTTTAATTTGTTTTTTAACTTTTATGTATGTTATGTTCTTTAAAATCAAAGTAGCGATTGCTATACATTACTAACATCTACAGATGCATAAGCAATACATTTATTGTTATTAGATTGTATTAAAATAGACTCTTATTTTTCTTTTAGATACTATCGCTGCTTTCATTATAATTTTTGCCCCGTGTCTCATGAATGTTGACAAATCTTAGATTTGTGAAAGTCACCTTTTCTTAAATAATCTTTATGTTCTTTAATTCGAAAATTTAAAGGTCTTGTATTAAATTACCTGTTTATAAATTGACAGTTGTTGTCAGTCGAGTTCAGTTCAAACTCACAAATATACAGAATGTGAGTAAAGCACGAGGTGGCAACATTGCAACGTTTTGTACTTCGTCAAGGTGTTTCAGAAGCACTAAACATTTATTTTTAAGTTGCAGGAAAATATCAGGAAGAAAACTGTAGTTTTTTTAAAAAGAAACACCCTGTATAATATAGTGAAATGGTTGTCTATTAATAAACTCATGAAAGTAAACTCTCCGAATACAAGTGTGACACAAAAAGAATTCTCTATTAGCTTTGCTTTTTCTGCCTTTTGAAGAAACGTATTAATAATGTATTTAAATAAAAATGCAACCAGTGCAAAATCTGAATATTCACGCCATTCTATAGAAATAGTAAATAGTAAAAGTAGGGTAAAATTTTTGTGAGAAAGTAATGTTCCTTCTCTTTGTTTCAGACGGATATCTGTCGATGGTTGATTTTGCTGATATCGTTATCGACATGGACGAAACTAACAGGTAAGTTGTGGATGCTTTAGATATTTCCTGAACCGGTATCTACCGGGCGTTTTGAAAAACCGGGTTTAAGGGTGACTTATTAATTAGTATATTTGGAAAAAGCATTTAATGAATAATTTGGCACCACATACTTTTCGAGTCAAATTGTCAATGTCATATGATACTCTAGATTGAGAATTTTATTATTTTTTAGAATACTATTATTTTTTAGCGAAAATATCAAATGATGACACATGATATGTCATTCGATTCAGAATTCTATTTTCTACCAAATAAAGTAAAAAAATACCGAGGGTACTAGGTATTCAAAAATCAGAAATTATAGTGATTCCCGGTGAAACAACAGCATATCAAATCTCATTTTTGTATCCTAAAAAAGACCTATGTTAAAAAACCGCATCATTAAAAAAACGGCATTCAGTTGGCTTGGAAATGACGATCGATGAGATTCCCTATATAATTTTTCCTACAAAATGATGGCGATCTTCATTTCCAAGCCATCTCTGGCGTGTTTTTTTTTCGATCGTATGCTAGTTATGAATAGGGATGGGATTTTTTGCCGATACATCGATAACTATTCGATAGTTATCGATATAAATAATGTATTAGATTTCTTTGATATACACTGTATATTTTACATCGTCCTTGATTGAACTCATATCTATATAAGATATTAATATTTATAAGAATATTAATGTATATGAATATAAAATAACAGAAACAGGTGTGATAATAACATGTATTTCTTTTCTATGTTTATAAATAATTTATATTTATAAAATTAGATTTTTTCAGAACAGAAAAAATAATTAATAAAATTGTGAATTGTTTTCATTTATTTCATATTTTTCCAGTGATATCATTAATTGATTTATTTTATTTTCTTTCTAGATTCAAAAGAAATGCGTGTGGTTTGTTATTACACGAACTGGTCGGTTTACAGGCCTGGACAGGCCAAATTCAGCCCACAGAACATCAATCCGTACCTGTGCACGCATTTAGTGTATGCCTTTGGAGGATTTACCAAAGAAAACACCCTGAAACCATTCGATAAATACCAAGACATAGAAAAAGGTAAACAAAATATAAAATATTATATACAGGGCAAGTCTTAAATAATTGCAAATATTTTCAAGGCTTGTAGATCTCGATAAAAGACACATATTTTCTCTTTACCGTTTTGAAAATAAGGTCAAAATAACCGAGTTATTTCATTTTGAAAATTAAAAAAAAAATAATTTTTTGCTTAAATTTTGAGAACCACTGGATCTTTTCTGTATTTTCTTTCTTGTAAATTTAATCTACTATCTATGTTGCCATGTCATCAACAAATTATATTTTTTTTACCAAAAACTAAAAAAAATTCCAAATTTTCAAAAAAAAAATTCCCATAAAAACCTCATAATTGTGTTTCTGGGGTCGAAATATACTACCCCTAAAAATATTTGACATATTTAAGACTCCTGTTTAAACCTGTATACAGTATGACAATTTGAAAACGAACAGTATTTAATATTACCTCTACCGATGATAGTATGAAAATTTGGCAAAATACGTCAATTTCCATATCGAGGGGGACAATTTTTTAAGCATTTGTTGTCGTGTTACTTTCAACCCTTTGACCCCCAGGGCACCTACCCCTAAAATTTTAAATGGCAACCCCTATTTCTTTTACCATTTTTGTGTTCCTTATATTAGTCTCATACAGCAGCTAACATCCCTGATTCAAAAAATTCTTTACCAACACAGGATACCCGATGAATGGCGAACCAGCACCACTATCTTGATGTTTAAAAGAGGAGATAAGAAGCTGCCCTCAAACTATAGAGGCATAAATCTTCTAAGCACCACACTAAAACTTACGACAAAAGTGATAACAACCAAAATAAACGACTTAACATGCTTAGCAGATGAACAGCAAGGTTTCAGATCGGGCAGATCATGCACAGACGCGGTTTTTGTCATAAGACAGATAACAGAAAAATCAATCGAATATAACAAACCAGCGTATATGTGTTTTATTGATTTAGAAAAAGCGTTCGACCGTGTGCAGCTAAGAGACGTTGTACACCTTCTTTACAATAGGCAAATCCCACACAACCTCGTTAAAACCATACAAAACATATATGAAGCGAACCAAATTCAAGCTAAAATTAACGGGGTCCTGACCGAACCAATAAATGTAGGCTGTGGTATCCGACAAGGTGACTCCCTGAGCCCTCTTCTTTTCAACATCATTATGGACGAAATAATAGGAAATGTACGTTTACTGAAGGGATAAGTATGGGCGACCAGGAATTTACTATTCTATACTATGCCGACGACGCCGTATTGGTAGCTGAAAATGAGAACGATCTACAGCGCTTATTACATCGATTTAATTGCACTGCCAAATCACTTATTATGATAATATCGACTCAGAAAACTAAATGCATGACGACATTAAAAGTACCACTAAGATGCAAACTGGAAGTCGAGGGCAATGTTATTCAGCAAGAGATGAAGTTTAAGTATCTAGGCATAGAAATCTCAGGATATGGTGATGTAGAAGCGGAGGTGCGAGAACGGACAACGAAGGTAACCAGAATAGCAGGATGCCTAAATGATACAATATGGCGAAATAAAAACATTGAGGTGGAGACTAAAGCGAGAATTTACAAGGCAACGCTACGACCAATAATGACATACACTGCAGAAACTCGACCTGATACAGCGAAAACTAAACAACTACTAGAAACAACCGAAATGAGAGTACTACGCAGAATAGCTGGAAAGACGCTTCTGGACAGGAAGAGAAATGAAAGCATAAGAAGAGCGTGCAAGGTGGAAAATGTAAATGAGTGGGTACTCAGCAGAAAGGAAGAATGGAACGAGCATATCAGCAGAATGGACAACAGAAGGATAGTGAGAGTTGCACGCGACAAATCACCGCTAGGTCGCAGAAGCTTAGGACGCCACGAAAACGATGGAGCGACAACTTGTCAGTCTAACCGGTAGAGACGATGAAACCAAACAGGCGATTCGCCTAGTATGAAGAAGGAAGAAGAAGAAGAAGAAAATAAAAGATGTGTTAACCAAGTGGTCGGCATAAATTCTATTGGTAAGATGCCTAGCATGATAGCAAAACACTTGAAGCTGCCAGATTATGAGGCCTACACTGGGCATTGTTTTCGGAGAACTTCAGCCACACTCCTTGCTAATGCAGGTGGTGATATATTTAGTTTGAAACGCCACGGAGCATGGAAATCTTCGACAGTGGCCGAGGAATACGTCGAGGATTCTATCAACAATAAAATACAAATATCAAATAAAATTGTAGATATAAAACCTATACATCAAAATTGGATAGTGTCTCAAGTCCCAAAACCCCCATATCTCAAGCAAAAACAGAACTATCAGGTTTGGGATTAAATATTGGTTCGTGCACTTACTGTTTGTAAGTATTATTAATGTTAATATTGTAAATAATAACTAGAATATGTATTAGTGTTAAGTTTGATATTTGTTATTTGTTTATTCTTGAATATTTCGAAATAAATAATTAGTTATGATTTAACTCTTCATTTTCCAAAAGTCAAAATTCCAAAATCCCATATAATTTACATGCAGTGTGCGAAATAGGCATTTCGCGCATTACTTCGCGCACCGTGTCATGGTAACGTAGGAAAATGAAAAAAAGTGTCACTTTGCACATTGCTATTGTTGCGGATCCGTGTGGACTCGACCTAACCTAACTATATGTCCCGCCCTCAGATGACCTTAACATCGCATTAAAGAATAGATACCGTAATTATTCATTCGAAGTTTCGAGAAGAATCGAGTTCCCCTGGAATGGAGTAGTACATACGAGAACAATCGAAACCTTCTCTATGCACCTAACGATCTATTGACTATTCGAGAAATCTTTAGCTGTGGGTATAAAAGCCGGCGGCTGGGGCCTATAGAGGGCAGATATAAATAGACCAGTACACAGTACAGTTGACGCGCTAAAATTCAAAATAAATTCTTTCTAGATAAATAGTTATAAATCGTTTGTAAATAGTTCTTTAAGTCTTTTATCGTTATTTTTTTTGTTAATTAGTGTTAAATAAATTATTGTGTTTAAATAAATTGTGACTTTCTATCCTCACGGAACCGACGAAAAACGTAACACTATCAATTCGCGACGGTTGTAGAAAAATTCGTTTTTTTTTATTTAAAAGATAAAATATTAATTTAATATATTCATACTCTACAAAATTTGAATACAAATTCTTTATTTATTTAGAATTAAATTATCGTTTTATTTCCATAACTATTAAGCTGTTGCTTTGATTTACTAATTAACCATATATTTTGTTTATTGGCATGCGTATAAATACTATTACCTACCAAACTCAATGCCAACAGGTTAGGCAAAAAACGCATGCTTGAAATGCTAAAAACACTAGAACTAGTTCAATTTATAGCGTAATAAAGGTGTTATTTAGATGTTCTGTTTCATGAGTAATTTAAGTAATTTAAATTTGTTTATTTTGCTTATTTTTTTTGTTAAATTTTAAGGAATGTGATTGATATAGGTAATCATAGAAAACTGGGCATAGTTCTGCGTTTTTTTAATGAATTCAAGACTGTTATGCAACACACTACGCATGCATAATCATCAATTTAATTAAAGAAGAATAGCTAATTAGTTAGTCTATAGCTGTAAGATTTAATACAATGCAGGACTTCTTTATTCTTACTATCATTTTGTTGACTCGACCTTCGCTGCTATTATTAAAAATTACATGTTCCACCTACACTCCTTGGAATCCGACGAAGGCATTGTGTCCGCAAGAGTACTTTCATTAGTACCTATACAGGATGTCGCGGAATTACAGGGAATTTTTGCGAAGAAGAAGCCAAATAGATTATTCTAAATACCATAGACCCCATAGAAACGTATAAAAGTTGGCCTGCAGATAAAAATAACATCAATGTGTCTCGAACGGTAATCTAAAAGCTATTACCTAACACCTATCATCTCTATTCTTTATCTGATTTCCCTCTCCCTGGTTTGTGTATAAATATTTTAAAAATCAATAATTATTTATCTATACAGAGTGTCTTAAAAGTGCATGTTTTGAATTTAAATAAATATGTTTTCCGAACACAATTTGAAGCAACCTGTATATTGATTTGTTTGACCACAGACTTCATATACAGGGTGACAATTTGAAAACGAATAGTATTTAATATTGCCTCTACCGATGAAAGTATTGTGACGTTTCTCCTCGGTTCCGTGTGGATAGAAAGTCACAATTTATTTAAACACGATTTATTTAACACTAATTAACAAAAACAATAACGATAAAAACTTAAAGAACCATTTACAAACGATTTATAACTATTTATCTAGAAAGAATTTATTTTGAATTTTAGCGCGTCAACTGTACTCGTCTATTTAAGTCTGTCCTTCAGGCTCCAGCCGCCGGCTTTTATACCCACAGCTAAAGAGCTTCTCGAATAGTCCATAAATCAATAGGGTGCATAGAGAACCTTTCTGAATGTTCTCATGTACTACTCCATTCCAGTGGAACTCGATTTTTCTCGAACGTCCCGAATGAATCATTACGGTGTCTATTCTTTAATGCGATGTTAAGGTCATCTGAGGGCGGGACATATAGTTAGGATTAGGTCGAGTCCACACGGGTACATGCAACAGTATGAAAAATTTGGCGAAACACGTCAATTTACATATCCAAGGGGGACAATTTTGAGGCATTTGTTGGTCAGCCATATTCAACCCCTTTGAATCCATTTGGGCACCACCTAAAATTTTAAATAGTAACCCCTATTTCTTTTACCATTTTTGTGTTTCTTATTCTACATAAACTGCATTATTTTTTTGAGAATTTTACAAGGAACACTTCTTCTTCTTCTTCCTTCTTCATACAAGACAAGTTGTCGCTCCATCGTTTTCGTGGACGTCCTAAGCTTCTGCGACCTAGCGGTGATTTGTCGCGTGCAACTCTCACTATCCTTCTGTTGTCCATTCTGCTGATATGCTCGTTCCATTCTTCCTTTCTGCACAGTACCCTAACTCATTTTACATTTTCCACCTTGCACGCTCTTCTTATGCTTTCATTTTCTCCTATCCAGAAGCGTCTTTCCAGCTATTCTGCGTATTAGTACTCTCATTTCGGTTATTTCTAGTAGTTGTTTAGTTTTTCGCTGTATCAGGTCGAGTTTCTGCAGTGTATGTCATTATTGGTAAGTACCGTTGCCTTGTAAATTCTCGCTTTAGTATCCACTTCAATGTTTTTATTTCGCCATATTGAATCATTCAGGCATTCTGCTATTCTGGTTACCTTCGTTGTCCGTTCTCGCACCTCCGCTTCTACATCACCATATCCTGAGATTTCTATGTCTAGATACTTAAACTTCATCTCTTGCTGAATAACATTGCCCTCGACTTCCAGTTTGCATCTTAGTGGTACTTTTGATGTCGTCATGCATTTAGTTTTCTTGGTCGATATTATCATATTAAGTGATTTGGCAGTGCAGTTAAATCGATGTAATAAGCGCTGTAGATCGTTCTCATTTTCAGCTATCAATACGGCGTCGTTGGCATAGCATAGAATAGTAATTTCCTGGTCGCCCATACTGTATCCCTTCTGTAAACGTACATTTCCTATTATTTCGTCCATAATGATGTTGAAAAGAAGAGGGCTCAGGGAGTCACCTTGTCGGATACCACATCCTACATTTATTGGTTCGGTCAGGACCCCGTTAATTTTAGCCTGAATTTGGTTCGCTTCATATATGTTTTGTATGGTTTTAACGAGGTTGTGTGGGATTTGCCTATTGTAAAGAAGGTGTACAACGTCTCTTAGCTGCACACGGTCGAACGCTTTTTTCTAAATCAGTAAAACACATATACGCTGGTTTGTTATATTCGATTGATTTTTCTGTTATCTGTCTTATGACAAAAACTGCGTCTGTGCATGATCTGCCCGATCTGAAACCTTGCTGTTCATCTGCTATGCATGTTAAGTCGTTTATTTTGGTTGTTATCACTTTTGTCGTAAGTTTTAGTGTGGTGCTTAGAAGATTTATGCCTATAGTTTGAGGGCAGCTTCTTATCTCCTCTTTTAAACATCAAGATAGTGGTGCTGGTTCGCCATTCATCGGGTATCCTGTGTTGGTAAAGAATTTTTTGAATCAGCGATGTTAGCTGCTGTATGAGACTTTGGCCGCCATATTTAAGTAATTCGTTTGGGATATCATCTTGCCCTGGGCTCTTCCTATTCTTTAGCTTTCGAAGGGATGTAATTATATCGGCTGCCTCAATCTGTACGTTGTCGTTGGTCATTATTTCGGATGTATTTAGTTCAACCTCTATTTCTTCTGATTTGTATAGTTCTGACAAGTAATCAATCCAGTAACCAATCTTTTATTTTGACATTTTAAAAACAATCTGCGACTGGTAGCATTTCTTGGACGAAGAGCTGCGTATTTTCGGTAAATCTCAATATAATTCAAATTTGATACTGTAAAGACTCGGTCTATGTTTGTTTTTGTATCGGGTACTTTAACAATCAAAATTGAATCTTTATCTTCTAAAATATGTTATCGATCGTCATTTTAGTAAGTTCCTCACGGCACTATATGTCACTTTTTCAAACATGTCCTTCAAATCCTTCAATTTCATAGCTGTCAGTCATATGTCAGTAAGAAGTTTCAATTCGATTTTTTTTATAAACAATTCTACATAATTTCTATTTTTTTTTCCAGGTGGATATGCCAAATTCACTGGCCTCAAGACCTACAACAAGAACCTCAAGACCTTGATAGCTATCGGAGGTTGGAACGAGGGTTCTTCCAGGTTTTCGCCAATGGTGGCCAACGCCGAACGGCGAAAAGAACTGGTAAAAAATGCCGTCAAGTTCCTCAGGCAGAACCATTTTGATGGTTTGGACTTGGATTGGGAGTACCCCACGTTTAGGGATGGTGGTAAATCTAGGGATAGGGATAATTATGCTCAATTAGTGAAGGTGAGCAACAACAAATTGTATTCTTATGGTAAAAAACGTTTTTTTTTTGTAAATATGTGTACGTACAGTTTGACAAATATAGGAAGAGACTTGGGGATAGCACCGGTCGCGCACACGATAGAAAGAGAACGCATTCGGCGGAAGAGAGATGCAGTTACGCTACGGCAAATCTGATTAAGCAGATTATTAGGTCTAGACAATTTAATCTCCTTTAGGTCCTTCACTTTAATTAAAAACCAAATAAATACATACAGTGCGTCTTAATTTCCATTAACATAGAACTACTACGTATAGTTTATTTAATACAATTTACTTCCATACAAAAGTACTTCGTATGTCTGTTAGAGGGCATCAAATAAAAAAGTTTTATAAATAAACACATTTTTAAGATATTTTTTTATACAGGGTTGTTCACCACATACGACACGGAGTATTGTAGCTAAACGATTAGATTTTTACAAATTGTAAGTTTTGGGTTTGTTGAAGGACTATTAGAGCTACAATTTAAAAATATTTTTACAAGATACAGAGTGTCCCAAATAAATAAAAAATATTGAAGTTGTATTTTTTTAAATGGAACACCCTGTATATTATTGCATTTTTAGTTTCTACGATTAAAATAAAGGTAAATTTGATTAAGGTTTATTACACTTAAACCTTACCGTTTTTAATACTAAATATTTACTGAAGTTTATTTATCGATCAGTTATTGTGTTGCAATAATAAAAATTATACTACCTTATACAGAGTGTCTAAAATTTTATTTTAAATAATTACTAGATTTAAACGGCAATAACTTATTTACATTAAATAGAACGCCCTGTATATTTTATGAGAATCAGATGCACACTTTAATTGTCTATCAAATTGTATTATACCACTTCTTACTTATTCCTTCAAGTTTTCCTAGAAAATGCATTTTCTTATAATTTAGACCTCATTTATCAATATACCCATGGAATATTGACATTTTAGATTGTTTTTAAAACAACAAATGTACAAAACGTACAGGCTAGTAATATTATCGTTTTTAGTAAAACGATAATATTACTAGCCCATTTGTATGCAAAAAGAAAACTATTTAAATCTTTATAAAAGAGTATACCATTAATTAAATATACCCCCAGTATTCCCGCCCAAATACTAATTAACTACATACTTAATTGTGTTCGTTAATAAATTATTCTAAATAAATGTGGATTTGAATCAGAAATCAATATAATAATAAGTTATGAAAATGAACGTCTCTGTTGTTATAAATAAGCATTTGTCAACAAATTAAATATAATTTTGAAGGTGTTACTTTTTACCACACTGTCTAATACACATACATAATTCAGTTTTTTAGTATTTGGAGCAATTATTATTAATCAACGCAAACAGTCAATTAATGTAGTTTGAATACTGAAATCATATTAATTGGTCCTCTTTAACAAATATTTAAACAGTTTTTTTTAATTTGTTAATGAAATAAACGAACTATATCGACAATATTAGTATCTGTACTCTTTAAAAATTCTTTAAAAATCTTTAAAAATAATCTAAAATGTCAGTATTCCATGGGTATATTGATAAATGAGTTCTAAATTACAAGAAAATGCATTTTCTACGGAAACTTGAAGGGATAGGTAAAAAATGGTATAATGCAATTTGATAGACAATTAAATTGTGCATCTGATTCTCCTAAAATATACAGGGTATTCTATTTAAATTAAAGAAGTTATTGGCGTTTGAAGCTAGAAATTATTTAAAATAAATTTTTAGACACTCTGTATAAGGTAGTAAAGTTTTTATTATTGCAATACAATAACTGATCAATAAATAAATTTCAGTAAATATTTAGTATTAAAAACTTTGATATCCTCGGAGAAATGAAGCCTTAAAATTTATACTGCAATTTCACAAAATTGAAGATATTTCAAAAACGGTAAGGTTTAAGTGTAATAAACGTTAATCAAATTTACCTTTATTTTAATCGTAGAAACTAAAAATGTAATAATATATAGGGTGTTCCATTTAAAAAAATACAACTTTGATATTTTTTATTTATTTGGGACACTCTGTATTTTGTAAAAATATTTTTAAATTGTAGCTCTAATAGTCCTTCAACGAATCCAAAACTTACAATTTGTAAAAATCTAATCGTTTCGCTACAATACTCCGTGTCGTATGTGGTGAACAACCCTGTATATTTTATTTTTGCTAGGCGCCTGAACATTTGATTTTTACAAAAATCCAAAGAGGTTGCGAGGATGGTGAAAAGTGAAAAGTGGCCTCACCCCTACAAAAATTCTAGTTAAAATGTTTTGCAACTTTACCAAGGACGGAGTTCTTTTTCTTAAAAAAGCTCCTCTTAGTATTTACTACATTTTTTGTCTTTTCGATATAGAAAGAAACATTCTTGTCATATCAAGCGTTAAAATCTAGAAGGTGATATGAATAATCTAGTTGGAGAAAATATGGAATGTTATGTTAATGTCACAAATGATTATTGACAATAATCTCCATAAACTTTTAATTAATTAATGTTTGTTTAATGGTTGAATTTTTGATTGGTGCCCTCTAATGACCAAACAAAGCACTTTTCGTAGAGGTAAATTGTATTCAACTAACATATTCTGATTTCAAAAACACGTAGTAGTTCTGTATCTTACTTGTTGTTAAATGAGTTTACAGTTCTTCTCCGTTGCGTTCTATCGTGAACTGCTTCCTCCGACTAATTTTGCATGCTTATACCACAGAATATTTAGCTACTTACGCGTATATATTCTGTGCTTATACCCTTAAAGTTTTCGTGGAAAATATCCTTCTACCTTTTGAGTTGTCCTTGTGAAGAAGAGATTTTGATGGCGGTTTTCTTGCATCCTGCATAGTAGTGGGAACTATCGAATGAATACTATCGAAACATTCGATAGTTGCAATTCATTCGAATAATTCGATAGCTAGTAAGAAAACATTCGTTAAAAACTATTCGAATAAAAATTATCGAATAGATGCGTCATCTGCTTTGAAATATTGTATTTTAGTAATTCGGCAGCAAAAACCATTCATTTATAAAATGCATTCATTTATGAAATTCATTTATTCGTCAGGATCGATTATAATAAAATATAAACTGGATTTTAGTTGTCGCCCGGCGACGTAGGTTTCTTTCCGAGAAACCCGACAGCGGTCGGTGGCAATGCTATGAAAGAAGCCGGCATCTTTGATTTTTTGCGGAGTCAGATAAAAATAAGGACACATTATTTTTTTATTGAGGTGCTATTATTTACACAGAAAATACATTATGAAGGGCGCTGTTGCCATATTTTGGTATTAGTTGATATTAGCAAAGAATATTATTGTTTGACTTTTGGCATGTTTTTTATTAATATTCTTTTGTTACACTGCAATAATACTTGTTATTTTGGATGTAGGAAAATGATTTTTAATGTTTTTAAGCAAAGACTGGTTTAATAAATAATAATAACAGTAATAATTTGTTATACTTATTAACAACACAATTTAAAATAATTTAATATAAACATTTTTTTTAAGTAGTAGCAAAATATAAACAACAAATTAGATGTCAAAATTATTTATATTAGATCCTATTTAAAAATAATATAGTCTCTAAATTTTTTGGCAACGTTGGTTTATTAAATAATAATAATTACAGAACTAATTTGTTATATTAACAACAAATTTTAAAATCATGAAATATTTATTAATTTTCTAAGCATGCAGTGTAATGGAAGGAAAATATAAATAAAAAATTAGAAATCAAAATTATATATATTAGGTGCCTTATATTACTATTTAAAAATAATATTTACTTTTACTGGCATTTAATTTAAAAAATAATGAAATATTTCTTCGCAAAAAACTACATGTAAGAGAATTAGCATAAACAAAATACAAATATTGTTAACTTTTTTTTTAAATTGGCACGTGTAAAACTTTCAATTTAATTTTCTCATGTCATAGTTTGAGTTCGATAACCATTTACTTAACCACATTACTTAAATATGATTATTAAGTTCCAACTAATTCATATTATTAAAACATCTAAAATACAGATATGTATTTTTAAAATTAATTGTAAGTTCATCTCATCTCTCTTAAAAATTGCTACTTCTCAAAATTTCCCACCATATACCATATAAAATTAAATAATTGAAAGATCGGGGCTACGGAAAATCACACAAATTTTCAGAAAAATTTTGACCACCAGCACACGCACACAATCGTCAATAAAATTTAAAAGAAAACTAGTATTTTAGTATTTTAAATATTTTAATAAACGCAAAAATAGCACAGTATTTATACAGCGAAGTTATAAAAATTTGGAAGAACTAATAATACACTGACGCACACAAAATTCAAACGAATACTAAATTTCATTTATCAAAAGCATTCGATAGTCGTGGCTCAACGATAACCATAGTCGCACGGCGAGGTTGTCACATATGCTTTAGTATACAAATGAATAAATGATTTTATTCGAATAAAACCATTCGATAGTTGAAATCATTCATTCAGTAACCATTCGACAGTTTAATTCATTCGATAGTTCCCATCGCTAATCCTGCATAAGTCACCAGCTCATCTTAAGCGGGATTTTGGAATCATGACTTTAGCGCTCTCGCAGCTGGCTTTTTCAAGGACCGACGCGTTTGAGACATTGGTGGTACCATCAGTTGTCTAAGGTGTCTCTGTTGCAATCTGTTTAATGCGTTCATGTCTCGGCGGTACCCAGGTTTCGCTTCCATATAACATAATGGGGAAAATTATTGCTCGGTACACTGCAAGCTTCGTTTTTGTGCTCAGGTCATGATTGTAGAAAACCCTGTCTTTTAATTTCCAGAATGCTCTTGACGCGCTACCAATCCTGTGCTGAATTTCAGAGTCGAGATTGGTCTTTTCCGAAATTAAACTGTCAATTCTGTGTCTACGGAATATTGGGACACCCTGTCACAATAGCTAAAATCTGATATTAAGATTTGTAAAATTTCTAAAAT